ATGTTCTACCTTTAAACTAAAGTCTCTATAGATTAATATATATATATTAATCTAAAAATAATATATTTAATATTATTATGATTCCTTAGCGACTTGAACGCTAAACCTACTCTTATCAAAAGTATACTTTACCTTTAAGTTAAGGAATCTTAACGACGTCGTTAAATCTGGTAATCATTACCAGACTAGACCTTATTAGTAATATTGTCACTTATATTAGATTATATCCTGTCAGTCTAATTTTAGATTAATACCTTTAGGTTACAAACCTAACCCTCAACCCTTATAGGTATTTCCCTCCCTGGTTTGCCGGTTTGCCTGCTACTATTATAATTTCCCTCCTAGGTTTGCTGGTACTATTATAATTTCCTGCTTAGGTTTGCCGGTTTGCCAAGTACTATTGTGAATATTCACAAACCCAAACCAAAAAAAAAAATAAATTAAACCTGAATATAATTCTAAATTTCTATAAATTATACAAAGTAAATATAATTCAAATACTTTGTAAATCTATAGATAAATATACTGAAATTAAATCAATACTTGATATTAATAATAAACTACCCATTATTATAAATAAGATAATCAAAGTATATTTGAATCTTCATTTTTAATCTATTTAAATCAAATAACTTTAAAAACTTAATATTAAATTCATAGTATTATCTAGATCTGAATTTAATATTATATCATTTAATGTCTCTGATATAATATCCATAGAATTAAATGACTCGTTATTTGAAAAAGTTACAGCAGGACCTTCTGATGATCCTTCTATGTTTGTATCCCCGTTATCACCTACCCCATTGTTGTCTGAATTATCTGAGTCTTCATCATCCTCAGGATTATTAGCTTCGACTGATTCCTCTACGATAGGTTCACCATATAAAAGTCTATCTAATACATCTATGTTATCTTTAATTATACGATCTTGTTGTTCCAAATATTGTTTAGCTGCTTCAAATTCTTGAGGAGTTAAACGAGTTTGTCAAGGATTTTCCAAGATTAAATTTTTTTTATAACGTAATACTTTACTTTCACGTAAAAGTAATGTAAGAGACTGACAATCTATTTCGTAAGTATAATCTAATGTAGGATTCTTATCTGCCTCTATAAAAAGATCCTTTAAAACAAAATTTTCTCTATTTACTTCTTCTAATCTCTCTGTATGGTGTACATAAAATATATTAAGTATATTTGGATCAAAATTTTGTAAATGTTGATTCATTACACTATCATAATTATTAAATAAAGTTCGTTTATCAACACTTTGATAATAAGTACTAGCACTTAATCTAGGTTGATTAGATAAAGGTGATAAAGAATTACCTCTATCCATACTTCTAAAACATGTTTGAGAAAAAGAACGAATCTGTATAAGAGAGGTTTCTTGTGGGTGATGCGTGGATAACAAACTATTTTTAGAACAAATACCGTTATACAAATTTCTTTGTGTTCGGTATAAAC